CTACAAAATGTTGTCTTTCACAGAATTACCTGTGAAACACCTGGTAATGCTGCTGCTTTYGGGCGACAACACCTTGAAAGCACAAGGAAAGATTTCATATTGAAGTTCAATTTTTTATATAAATCTTTTTTAAAATCAAAATACGATTGATTAATTTGTGCCAGCCTGCATTTGTTCTATACTACATAGCATTGTAATTATGTAGATAGATAACACCACCCACCTCGAGAAGGTTGCAGATCTGACTTACTCAGTAGAGGCTATTCGTATACGCATAACTGAGTCATTTATGGGTAGCATGTAAAAGAAATTACGGGCGACAACACCTTGTAATTTCTTTTGCTATCGAAYGACAACACCTGGAAAGCTGAGTCACAGATTTACGGGCAACAACACCTAGTAATTCTGCTGCTCTCGGGCGACAACACCTAGAAAGCAGAATAAAAAATCTTGTTAGTCAAAGAATTACGGGCGAAACACCTGGTAATTCTACTGCTCTCGGGCGACAACACCTAGAAAGCAGAACAAAAAATCTAGTTAGTGATAGATTAAAGGTGACCCAGGTGAAGCACCTGGTAATTCCGCTGCTCAGAGGCAACACGTACAAAGCTTTTTTATATCCAAGTGGTAACTTTGTGCATCAGTGCAATACGGTGGCTGCCCATCTTCTGGAAATTCCAATGAAAGCTTGGATTTTCTGGTTTAGTGTTCTGAACAATATCTCTTGTGGACATAATTACGCCAATGCCACAGCTTCCTGCACCWTCACCTACTTTTGGCTGGGATGTGGTATCACTGACAGCAGTTAAGTCAACAACATTATATGTGGTGGAAGTACTGCGAGAACYTCTCTCAAATGTAGGTTGCTCAAGAACTTTATCATTATCAGATCCACTTCCACTATTTCCTGTACACTCCCAGAGGTGCTTCCTAAGTACTCTAACTTGAAACCCTTTACTACATCTTACTTCATTATCATTGTCTTCATCATCTAGCTTAACCTTCTTTAAACCCAAACCAAAAACTGCTTTATATAGGATCTGTTTCTCTATGAAAGTAGGGGTTTTAGTGGCAAATCTGTCCGCCAAGCACACAAACTGGGCGGTCCATCTCTTTAAGGTACATGTCTTTTTCTTTGTTCCTCTAGTTTTCTCCACCATCTACATCAGTTGACTTGCTAATCTGCGCCTGATATCAACACTTCGAGGGTTAAACAGGGCTAATTGGTTATTTTCGGGCAGTGCTTGATGACAAACCACTTGTATTGGGAGGTCATGATGCCTGATGTTCTTTACTAATCTATGATAAATATAATATGAATGGATGAGCCTTTTCGTGGAATACAGTTAAAGGTCACATATCGTTACTTGTGTGACCAAGTCAAACGGACAATACAAGATTTCAACGACAACCAGATTTCTTTCCACGCTTCGACAACCAGATTTCTTTCCACACTCATAACAAGCCGCAAGCCCGATTTTATTGCGTTTGGGCGCATTCAGATCTGCATGTTTGGAATATTTCTGGGGGATTAGGAGTGGGGGAAGTGTGAATCTYTTGTTTTATGGCCAGCAGGACGCCTAACTGGAAAGACCGCTTCATATTGAAAGTCCTTTCGTCAGCTCATTAAAAGCTGTCACTTTTGACTGAACGTTGAAGTTGCTTTCCGACTGATTTATTCGCTGGCTGTTTCCTCATTGTTTTACGGAAAGCGAAGACAGATTCGGACGACTTCGGTACTCGAACTTCTTCGGTTTATCCATAATCAATTATCAATGGTTTATCTTATGAGTCCCCCCTCCATGTTTACAACAACTACAAATGTAGGCGATTCCCTATTATGGCATGCTTTCCGGTTTCAGATTTCTTTAAAAAAAACCAAGGAAAAACACGCATGCCTTTCCGGTCGTATGATAGCTTTCCCCGACACGTGTATCACTTCCACAGTCCARAACTTAACTATGTCGAAAACTTTTGATTTACTTTGCTATCTTTGTGAGAAAAAATTCAAGACCTATCGATCTCTTCGAAAACATCATGGCATCCGACACACCAAGGAAACACTTGATATGAAAACGGTCAAGTTTATGGACAATGACAACTGCCTACAAGTCGCTGTGCCACTGTTAGGGTTAATGAACGTAGCATCAAGCGAGTATAAGAACGGATATCTTTTGTGGCTTTCAGGGGTTGCAGAACAAATTAATGCTTCTCTCCATCCGAATTTTCCAGGYATGTTTAACAACCTCACTTGTATTTCTCGGGACTTATGATAATATCATAATTTTTTCCGAAATATAAACAGATAGCTATATTTAACTGAAATAACTCACACACGTATCGAATACTTTTCTGTTTATATACACACCGAACGCATAATTTATTACTACTATACTTTTCTGTTTAGGTGGCTGGTTCAAGATCGACTTTTTACAACTTCCTTCGGCCTTCTTTCAACATTTTGTTCTACGACTTCAGTGCGAGATCGATAGCATAAGAGTTGCTCCACATAAGAGACCGCCGACATACTGTACCTACACGAATAGAATTTCATACAAAGAGTATGCTATTGAGAAATTCATCGAATGCATGGAGGACCAAACCCTGGYGCCCATCAAGAAGGAAATTCTATTTTCTGGGACCAAAGAAATCAGTAGGCCGTCGAGGACTATAGAAGAGGAAATAGAGGCAGCTGTTCRACGTGATCCATGGAGTGCAAGAAAAAACTCTGAAAGAGCAACAGTGCACGCTAACTTGGAAATTGGCTTCGGTGAAGGCAGATGTACTCGAGAGGTAGAGGTTATTTGGTGGCCGCATGTRTATGACACAACAAATAATGGACATTTCACATTACGTTTTTATTTACAAAAAGTTTCTGTATAAGTAATGAGGATTGTTTTTGTGCTGTGCCTATGGGCACAGTACATTTGTTTTTGGTGAGTTAGGTATGATCGGAATTTAGTGTTACGAATGCCATTGGTGGACCTCGTCATGATTGACATTGGTGAAACACGAGGTGAAAATGCATGTTGAGATCTGTAAGATCGGGACAYGGAGGAGGTGAAAGAGGTTGAACGTATGTGGTTTTCGTGGTAAGAGTGCCTTAATCYAACTTACTTTAAACTTAATTTGGTAGTTCTAAGCAGATAATTAGAAACTGGAGCTMAATTAGAAACTTTAAGTGCGATTTTYGTTTTTTGATACAACTYGAATTAGTTACGTAAACAAAAGATTGTAAATGGACAGGCCAGGAATTTATACTGCGTCATTGATGTAAAATAGTACTCGCACGAGTTTTATATTATTTYATTARCAAGMAAAATGATATTAGGTTTGATTAGCAAAACATATTTATTTGTAGTCGAATATTTTCATGACAAAAACGTATTTCATGCCGTAAGCTTGAATGGGGGCGGGCAAGGAATTTCTACTGCGTCATTGATCTAAAATAGTACTATTGGTATTTACTAAAACAAGGAACGACCTAAAACCACCTGAAACGACCTGAAACCACCTGAAACGACCTGAAACCACCTTGAAACCACCTGAAACCAGCCAAAACATTGAATCTCCATCGAGTTTGTCATCCAGTTTGTGTATTTTATTGACTGTTATCGATCGATCGAGTGTTTGTTTTCCTTGGAAGGGATGTACTTCATGGTAGAATGTCATATAGTCGCTCATACGTATAGTCTCCCATAGAAGTATTCCACACTTATACATCACTTTTCCCTTGCTATGATTACCTGTTCCTAGCTATGATCAACCGTCCCTGCCTATGATCAACTGTTCCTAGCTATGATCAACTGTCACTAGCTATGATAAACTATCCCTAGCTTTTTTCACCATTCTCTACTAATGGTTTCCTGTACCTATATATAGATTAACTTCCCCTTATATAGTTTAATGAACTTAGAAACTTGCAGGCAACATGGCTGAATTACGTTAAGGAGGGGCTTATCCAGGATCTGTCATGTGTAGTGGGGGGTGGGCGTGGGGGTCACAACATACCAAATTGTCACTATGACATACTGACAATATTTGACCATCTGGCTTGGAATCTAACAACAAGGCCTCAATGGATTTGGCTTCATGACTGGTCAGGATACCATTACTTTTGGCAAGCCAATTCAGCTCCTGATGGACCTCGTTTGATGTGTTTGAGGCTTCAAAGGCCTTTTCCCAGATGTCTAGTGTGAATCTGTTGAAGACACCAAGTCCACCCACTTGAATACCAATGTCAGTGTCATCATCATCATCATCATCATCTGAATCTATCAGAATTGCAGACGTTTTTACATGGTTTTGGACTTGTAATAGCTCTTTGCATTCATTCAGGATTCCTTGTGGAGGTCTTGCAGCCACCAACATTGGATTACTGAGTCTTNACGTGATCCATGGAGTGCAAGAAAAAACTCTGAAAGAGCAACAGTGCACGCTAACTTGGAAATTGGCTTCGGTGAAGGCAGATGTACTCGAGAGGTAGAGGTTATTTGGTGGCCGCATGTATATGACACAACAAACAATGGACATTTCACATTACGTTTTTATTTACAAAAAGTTTCTGTATAAGTAATGAGGATTGTTTTAAAAACTCTATTCTGCTAAAACAAATATATTCGTTGAATAGAAAGCGTTTGTAATACTATAACTATAGCTGAACTTTTAGAACATCTGATTGTCTTAACAAATTGTTTTATTTCAAAAACACGTGACTCTAGAATAAAAAACCTAGATGTTTAAAAAACCACTGATCCAGTGTCATAAAATTAACTGCAACTATATATGTACACAAGTCCTGAACCACCATCAATATGCGCGGAAGGAGCAACTACTGCATATCAGGAGTAGAAGCGAAATCACAAATAAAAATAAATACGCCTTCCAAACATGTGGAATGAATTCCTTTTCATAAGGAATCACGAATCACTGTTAACGGGAATTATATAAATCATACAACTTAATGATTTTGCTTCTACCCGCGATAAATAAGAACAAAATTACTTATTGTAATTTATAATTTGCATAAGTGTAGGCCGCATTTTAGGATTCTGTAGAAGAGCTGCACTATATGCCATGCAGCCTACTCGTCCACCTATTTCAAAAGATGAGTGTTTTTCTACAAATTGCAATAGCTTTGCAAAAGAGAAAACGTCACTCTTAATGGAGGGATCGCTGCTGCCATCTACAATTTCAGGCGCAATGTGTGGATAGCTTGCTGTGTACTTTAGCTGCTCCTCTTTGGAAAGGTTTTTTCTCCTTGAATTGGCAGAAATCTTGGAACTCTTACCAAAATCAATTATGACGCTATGGTACTCGCCTGTAGAGTTCTCAATAACCACGTTGTTGACTTTCAAATCATTATGCAAGTATCCTCTTGCGTGCACGTGGTTTAAACCGGCAGCAACACCTTTGACAATGTCAAACCACTGTTCGTTCGTCAATTTCTTTGTCTTGACTGCCTTGTAAAGTGTGACACTTTTCTCCCCTATTCCGTGGAATTGTAAAACCATCTTGTATGGAAGATTGACAGTGCATATTCCATACAGTAAAGGGAGGTTTCGATGGTCGCCAAGCTGAGAGATTACTTTTGCTTCATGAAGGACTTCCTGTCTTAGCTGTTCCTTGCTGGAAAAGTTGTCTGTGATATAGTCCTTCACAACGACTACCATACCTCTGTACCGTGCTAAATTGCATTGGCCAAAAGTCCCTGCACCAACAGATTTGCCGATCTTAACCAGCCCAGAAATATTTATTTCTTTAAACCGATGGCCATGCGGAATTGACTGACTTCGATGACTCCTCTCTTCTCTCCCCAGCAGACTCCCCCGTTCTTCTCTGGAAACACTTAAACTACTTTCTCCTTCTCCTGTCTTTTCTTTCTCCACTTCCATAACAACGGTCGGTTCTAGATACTTAGCTTCTAGCTCAACCTCCATCTGTTCACCTTGGTCGTTCATCGCTCTGTTTCTTTGAAATTGATCCCTCCTTTTGACCCCATCTTCCTCTCTTTTCTTCTTCCTTGCGCGCCATCGTTTCTTTTGATTTTTTGCAAGATTTTTGTAGTATTTTCTAGTATTTTTCTTTCTCGATTCTGCGTCAATCTCTAAGTCCTTCTCTACGCTCACCTCAAAGTCCTTTTCTACGTCCATCTCCGACAAAGTTTGGAACATAAGACACTGAGAATGACACGTGAACTCGATCACGTCACATCCACGACTGTCAAACGGAAAAGCTTTATGATTGGCTGCAAGTAAACAACCAGGTTAGTATAAATTAATCAGAAGCATTTTGATCGCAAATTATTTCCAGTTTGCCCTCTAAACATACGTTCTTTGTTGTATAACTTTTCATCGAAAAAAAAAATTACTTGGACCAAAAATGCTCTCTCTTGCTAAATAAAAACAAAATACGACAAAATGAAAACAGGGGAATAAGTGTTTGAATTTTTTCGTTTTTGACAAATAATCCTTTGCGTGCTTCGAAGCCAGATCACTTGAAAACCAAGCTACAATGATGATTGTAGGCACAATAATCAAGAAGGTATCCAATGACAACTTAATTTTTTTAATTAAAATTATGCATCCAAGAGATTAGAATACATAAGACAGTCACACCAATGCTGTTAGCACAGGTAAGCCATAGTCACCCCAGTGCTGTTAGCACAGGTAATCCATAGTCACCCCAGTGCTGTTAGCACAGGTAATCTATAGTCACCCCAGTGCTGTTAGCACAGGTAATCCATAGTCACCCCAGTGCTGTTAGCACAGGTAATCCATAGTCACCCCAGTGCTGTTAGCACAGNGCTATTTTCAACTGCTCCTAGCTGTCATCAACTGTCCCTAGCTATTTTCAACTATCCCTAGCTGTCATCAACTGTTCCTAGCTATGATTACAATTTGAAAATTTTTTTACTTTAACGTGTAAATTTGTTTAATTTAACATTGGCGTATCTAGGGGGCTCAGGGGTGCCTGTGACCCCATTTTCAAAGCCAAAGATAAATCATCTGACCGTTGATGCAGTATGTGATATAATGTCATAGTGACAATTTGGTATGTTGTGACCCCCACGCCCACCCCCCACTACACATGTAAGATCCTGGATAAGCCCCTCCTTAACGTAATTCAGGCATGTTGCCTGCAAGTTTCTAAGTTCATTAAACTATATAAGGGGAAGTTAATCTATATATAGGTACAGGAAACCATTAGTAGAGAATGGTGAAAATAGCTAGGGATAGTTTATCATAGCTAGTGACAGTTGATCATAGCTAGGAACAGTTGATCATAGGCAAGGACGGTTGATCATAGCTAGGAACAGGTAATCGTAGCGAGGGAGAGGTGAGGTATAAGTGTGGAATACTTCTATGGGAGACTGTACGTAGCGACTATATGACATTCTACCATGAAATACATCCCTTCCAAGGAAAACAAACACTTGATCGATCGATGAAAGTCAATAAAATACACAAACTGGACGWCAAACTCGATGGAGATTCAATGTTTTGGCTGGTTTCAGGTGGTTTCAAGATGGTTTCAGGTCGTTTCAGGTGGTTTCAGGTCGTTTTAGGTGGTTTCAGGCCGTTCCTTGTTTTAGTAACAGTACCCGCACGAGTTATATGTTATTGTATTAACTAAAGTAATAATTTTTGTTTTGGTTAGCTAAACGTATCTATTTCTAGTCGAATATTTTTATGAAAAAGGGATTTTCATACCGAAACCTTCAACGAGTGGGTGGACGAGGAATTTACTGCGTCATAATTTACATAAAAGAGTACTCACACGAGTTTTATATCCCAGCGAGGTCGGAAATTAATTTTTCCGAATTTAATTCCAAGAGCTTTCGCCCGGAATAACCTCGTTCCCAAGCACTACAACTTACCTATATTATCTTCTACGAATTTTATATTAGTTTGTTTATAGTTCCTTTCACGGTTTCCGACGCCATATTGTTTGGGCAGAAGTGTAGGGAAAGAGATATGTTTTTCGTAATATTTCCATTCTGAGGTTACCCTGCGAGCAAAGTCTCCTTTACCTTCCCCCGAGTGAGAGAAAGGAAAGAGTCTTCTTTCCTTTCTCTCACTCGGGGGAAGGTAAAGGAGACTCTGCTCGCAGGGTATTCTGAGGTAAATTTTCGAGACCAAACTTTTTCTGTAGATGGAGAATCTTCTGTTCGATAATGTTTTGTGTGGTGTTTTTGAGCCGATGGAGCCACCATAACACTGGTTYTCAGAGAGACGGAGGCTTGTTTTGGGGTTTGCGAACAAGACTCGTTTATGCTGGTTCAATTTGACCGTAAAAAAATATTCAAACGGAATCCACGGACTTTCTTCTGTCTTACAATGACTAAATCCCAAATAGTCTTGTACTCTATTCAAAGTATCCAATGTGCACAGCACATTTGACACGTTTTCCCGTGTCAAAACTTGTTAAAACTCTATTCTGCTAAAACAAATATATTCGTTGAATAGAAGGCGTTTGTAATACTATAACTATAGCTGAACTTTTAGAACATCTGATTGTCTTAACAAATTGTTTTATTTCAAAAACACGTGACTCTAGAATAAAAAACCTAGATGTTTAAAAAACCACTGATCCAGTGTCATAAAATTAACTGCAACTATATATGTACACAAGTCCTGAACCACCATCAATATGCGCGGAAGGAGCAACTACTGCATATCAGGAGTAGAAGCGAAATCACAAATAAAAATAAATACGCCTTCCAAACATGTGGAATGAATTCCTTTTCATAAGGAATCACGAATCACTGTTAACGGGAATTATATAAATCATACAACTTAATGATTTTGCTTCTACCCGCGATAAATAAGAACAAAATTACTTATTGTAATTTATAATTTGCATAAGTGTAGGCCGCATTTTAGGATTCTGTAGAAGAGCTGCACTATATGCCATGCAGCCTACTCGTCCACCTATTTCAAAAGATGAGTGTTTTTCTACAAATTGCAATAGCTTTGCAAAAGAGAAAACGTCACTCTTAATGGAGGGATCGCTGCTGCCATCTACAATTTCAGGCGCAATGTGTGGATAGCTTGCTGTGTACTTTAGCTGCTCCTCTTTGGAAAGGTTTTTTCTCCTTGAATTGGCAGAAATCTTGGAACTCTTACCAAAATTAATTATGACGCTATGGTACTCGCCTGTAGAGTTCTCAAAAACCACGTTGTTGACTTTCAAATCATTATGCAAGTATCCTCTTGCGTGCACGTGGTTTAAACCGGCAGCAACACCTTTGACAATGTCAAACCACTGTTCGTTCGTCAATTTCTTTGTCTTGACTGCCTTGTGAAGTGTGACACTTTTCTCCCCTATTCCGTGGAATTGTAAAACCATCTTGTATGGAAGATTGATAGTGCATATTCCATACAGTAAAGGGAGGTTTCGATGGTCGCCAAGCTGAGAGATTACTTGTGCTTCATGAAGGACTTCCTGTCTTAGCTGTTCCTTGCTGGAAAAGTTGTCTGTGATATAGTCCTTCACAACGACTACCATACCTTTGTACCGTGCCAAATTGCATTGGCCAAAAGTCCCTGCACCAACAGATTTGCCGATCTTAACCAGCCCAGAAATATTTATTTCTTTAAACCGATGGCCATGCGGAATTGACTGACTTCGATGATTCCTCTCTTCTCTCCCAGCAGACTCCCCCGTTCTTCTCTGGAAACACTTAAACTGATTTCTCCTTCTCCTGTCTTTTCTTTCTCCACTTCTATAACAACGGTCGGTTCTAGATACTTAGCTTCTAGCTCAACCTCCATCTGTTCACCTTGGTCGTTCATCGCTCTGTTTCTTTGAAATTGATCCCTCTTTTTGACCCCATCTTCCTCTCTTTTCTTCTTCCTTGCGCGCCATCGTTTCTTTTGATTTTTTGCAAGATTTTTGTAGTATTTTCTAGTATTTTTCTTTCTCGATTCTGCGTCAATCTCAAAGTCCTTCTCTACGCTCACCTCAAAGTCCTTTTCTACGTCCATCTCCGACAAAGTTTGGAACATAAGACACTGAGAATGACACGTGAACTCGATCTCGTCACATCCACGACTATCAAACGGAAAAGCTTTATGACTGGCTGCAAGTAAACAACCAGGTTAGTATAAATTAATCAGAAGCATTTTGATCGCAAATTATTTCCAGTTGGCCCTCTAAACATACGTTCTTTGTTGTATAACTTTTTATTGAAAAAAAAAATTACTTGGACCAAGAAAGCTCTCTCTTGCTAAATAAGCAGTTTAAAAGTATAAAAACAAAACACAACGACAAAATGAAGACAGGGGAATAAGTGTTTTTGACAAATAATCCTTTGCGTGCTTCGAAGCCAGATCACTTGAAAACCAATCTACAATGATGATTGTAGGCACAATAATCAAGAAGGTATGCAATGACAACTTAATTTTTTTAATTAAAATTATGCATCCAAGAGATTAGAATACATAAGACAGTCACACCAATGCTGTTAGCACAGGTAAGCCATAGTCACCCCAGTGTTTTTGGCACAGGTAATCTATAGTCACCCCAGTGCTGTTAGAACAGGTAATCCATAGTCACCCTAGTGCTGTTAGCACAGGTAATCCATAGTCACCCCAGTGCTGTTAGCACAGGTAATCTATAGTCACCCCAGTGCTGTTAGCACAGGTAATCTACAGTCACCCCAGTGCTGTTAGAACAGGTAATCCATAGTCACCCCAGTGCTGTTAGCACAGGTAATC